CGGTACCCAAATTACATTCGATGTTTCTCGGAGCCAGAAGTGTATTGGTACATCAGCTGTGTATCGATACCCAAATTAAATTCGAAGTTGGGGGTGCATCGATACATCCAATAGTGTATCAGTATCTCCCTTTGTAAAAATCATTTTTGGCCCGATTATGGTTCGAAATACTTTGTAAAAATTGTTTCAAAAATATTTTAAGATTAAAACACAATTTTACACTTAAGTAAGGATTAAAATTGACATTTGAAAACTTGGAGTAATATTTTTGATATTCGAATAATTTAATCGAATATATAATTTTGAAATCGAATATAAAATCTTAAAATTCATTTACACTTTATTTGTTATATCGAAACATCAAAATGTTTTTAATATGTGTTAATATTAAATTATTAAAATAAAATGTAAATACATAATTGAGTGGAGTTCATGCATTAAAATTATAATTTTCTTCCAAATACAAAGTTAAAAATAAATAAAAAATACAAATTATAGCTTTTGCGGTTAGATTTAAACCACCGTTTCCACCGTATTTTTTTTCATTTTTATCCATTAGTATTATTTTGCAGTTAAAACGAACTTTTTAACTAAAAGTACGTTTAAAAAGTTACGCTAAACGATACCTCTCGTGATATGGTATAATTTTATTCAATTAAAATTAGTATTTATATAAATACATATAATTAGAATTTTAGAATTTGATGTAAAATCTTTTTGTATTTTTTGTCAATGTAAATTTTTCCTTATTTATATGTAAATTTTCAAATATTTTTCATATAAATTTGTGTATTTTAGATTTTCTTCTTAATGTTCTATAATCGTTTAATCATTGTTATCAATAATATTAACCAATGATATTAATTTAATAATAAGACTGAGACTTTATGATAAAAAAACGTCAACATATAAGAGCTGTCAGGTGTCACAAATGATCATGACACCCGCATCAAGTGAAGTACAATAATTTGGACCACAAAATTGAACGGCTCAAATGGTTTTATGAGTTGGTTAATGACAGCTGATCTTGTTACTTTGTGATCCCTTAATAACCTTTGGATCAAAATATATTTTTTAAATTAATCATTGGTATCGATCTATTGACCGACTAATCAAGATCGGGTACTGTAGAGACGAGGGCGACCCTCTCAGTCAAGTTTACTCCATTCGCAAATGTCAATATTCAAACCCTAACTTTACTTAAGATATATAATACCTCATTCCACTAGATAAAAAAAAAGCCTTTTTATTTACATTATATCTAATACTAATTGCGTCACAAAATGAATTTGTTTAATATGTTTCCACATTCAAATCATTGACTCAATTTTAGATATAATTTTAAATAAAAAATTAAGGGGGATAAAGGGTTAAGCGAGCCAATTAGCAGGTGTTTAATTGGTTGTGCAGGTGAGTTTACTGGGATCATGTGCACATCATGTTAGCCATGATTATTTAAACTAGGGATGAGCAACGAAATTAAGAAAACTAAAAAATTGATACGAATAGAGTAAAACGGTTCGGTTCGATTCGGTTTGACATAATACAGTTTGATTTAAAGTCTTAATTATTTTGATTCGGTTCGAGTTTTCTATATAGAACCCATTTGTTCCATATTGAATCGAATAAGCAATTTTTTTAAAAAAATTTATAATTTCAAGTGATTTTTTCATTGAAAAACCGAAAAACTAAACCGAACCTAAAAAACCGATTTCGGTTTTTTCGATTTTTTAACCATTCGATTATGGTTTTGGTTTAAATTTTAAAAAACCGTTTATTTCGGTTCGATTCAATTTTTGATAAAAAAATTGAACCGAATACACCCCTAATTCAAACCCTTGCTTTCTTCCCATCTCATTCAATAAATTATTCCTCACTTTTGCCCCTCAGCGTCACACAAAAGATATTCTCTTGCTATGAAAATGGAAACAATTGAGTTCTCTGATTATCAAAAATTATAAAATGATCCATCAACTATAGAATATTACTTAGTTGAATCTATCGACTATTAAAAGTTTTCAAATTGTCACCTGACTATTCATTATGTTCTAAACTTATCTTTTATACATTAAAAGATTGATGACAGTTTGAGCTAGATATTAATCTACTATATGAGATATGATAATCGTTTGAGATTCTTGGATCAACATAGCTCGGACAGTATATTAACATCCAGCTCAGACGGTTGTCAAATTTTTAACAGAAAATAACAAATTTGGAACATAATAGTTAAGGGACTCAACAAAACAACATTTTATAGTTAGGAGATCATTTTGTAACGGTCGATAGTTAGAGGACTCAATAAAATAATACCCTATAATTAGGATACCATTTTATTTTTTTTCAACTTGATTTTAAAAAAGTTGATGACTTGTAACAATTTTATCAGAAATAAATTTAGTTGTCGTTGAATTTAGTATTTACTATAGCATTCATTATGTTTTCTATAAATATATATTTTGAGATCAAAGATTTAAAAGTCTTATTATATATGACGCAGATACATGAATATGTTAATAATTTTATTAAATATATAATTATAAAACATTTCAGATGTAATTATGATACATAAAAATACATAAATACGATAAAATTTAATGAATTACTGAAATTAAAATAAACTTTTGATAACCGGGTAATTGCATAGATTATGAATTGATTTTATCTGAAAAGGTTGGATTTTTAAAAAAAAAGAATTGAATTCAAGTCGGGTCAGATTTTTTAAGAGAGTGAGATCGGGTCGGTTGGAGGGTGAAAAACTCCGAACCGACATGACCCAAAGATAATAATGTATTTTTTTTAAATTATTATTATTTTTAATTACTTCTTTATTTTATAAAGGTCGGGTCAATTTTATATCCTAAAAAATTGAGTCAGATTCAGGTAGATGATATATATTTTCGGATCATGTGAAGAACATATAATTTTCAAACTAGATTCCAGCTAAGATGAAAGATATATATTTCGGATACCAAAAACCATATCCAACCTGCACGTTACCGTCCATTATGACATATATGGGCGTTAAATCAAGGAATTGGGTATCAAAAAAGTCAATCCATTAAAGAAAGCTTAAGGAATGAGGAAGCAAGTGGGAAGTTTGCTCTACCAAGTACATGTAACATATGCACTGCATGAGGCAAAAATAGATTTGATAATGATAATGTCACATTATTGTTTAAAAATAAAGAAAATAAATAAATAAATAAATAAATAAAACCATTACGTTTATTATTATTTCAATTGGTATCTACTAATAATAATATGTCACATTATTGTTCAAAAATAAAGAAAATAAATAAATAAAATCATTATGTTTATTATTATTTCAATTTTTTTATGGATAATTTTAATTTTATTACCTAAGGTATATAATTCTGCTACATAAAAAACTCATCAATGGGATAATGGACAATCTACTTAAAACAAAATTTAATGGTCAACACCCCAACGATTACAAAGGTAAATATTGAGACTGACTAATCTATTTATATTATTTCCTCTTAATTGAATACATACAATCTCCTTAATTAAACTCAGAATTTATTTCTCACTTCTTGTACTTCCTCGGTATAATCTTCTATTTCTTTCCTCCCTTAGGGAATAGATTAAAGCGCACCACGCAAGTTTCAAGGTAGTAGTGAGTAAGGACTTATCTTTCCAAGTACCATTGGCCCAATCTATCATGCTCACCCATAGTAAAATATGAGTGCTTAAGCCAGAGAGATTCGGAATAACCTTCCATAAGGAAACTGCTAGATAGCACTCACTAAACAGATGGTCCCTAGTCTCCGTAGTTTCATTATAGATTATGCATGAACCAATGGTAACAATTCCCATTCTTTGGAGCCTCTCCCTAGTTGGGAGTCTATCCAGAAGTGACATCTATGTAATCATGCTATATTTTGGGACGTGTAGAGGAAACCATATCAATTTGTGCCATGAGACTTTTCTTCTTTTACCCCATAGTAAAATATGAGTGCTTAAGCCAGAGAGATTCGGAATAACCTTCCATAAGGAAACTGCTAGATAGCACTCACTAAACAGATGGTCCCTAGTCTCCGTAGTTTCATTGTAGATTATGCATGAACCAATGGTAACAATTCCCATTCTTTGGAGCCTCTCCATAGTTGGGAGTCTATCCAGAAGTGACATCTATGTAATCATGCTATGTTTGGGGACGTGTAGAGGAAACCATATCAATTTGTACCATGAGACTTTTCTTCTTTTACCCGTAGTTCTTTCCAAAAATCTTTTATCTTCGTAGCTCAGGTGGATAAAACAGAGATTGCAACGGCCATATACTAATAATAATATGTCACACTATTGTTCAAAAATAAAGAAAATAAATAAAACCATTATGTTTATTATGATTGCATTGAAATTTATAAAAAAAAAGTATTATTATACTTTTTAATTAAAAAAAGATGATCACTTATAGTTATAGGAATCTTCCTAACATATTTTAGTGGAACTTCCAATTTATTTATTTAATTCTATGGGTGGAAAGAGATTGGTGTCACTTCCTGTTTGGAAGGACGGAAAAGTCGTTCAATGGCCCAGAAAAAAAAGTTCCCAACAAGTGGGTATCTTTGTACATAAACAACATAGTTAGTCATCTAATTATTTGAGGACTATTGTTTCGATCATCAAACTATAATTTTTTTTTAAAATCATACTTAATATTATATTTTGATTTTATTTCTATCACGTGCGGTTAAAAAAGATAAAGATTTAAAGATGGTATAAATTTAATTGTTAGATAATAAATATATATAGATATCCGTGTAACGTTAGGCAATTTACACTTTTAAGGGTAGGGTTTACAATTGCGAAAGGAAGTGAAAAAGAAAAAGGTTTTATAGACTGTCCAGCTCTCACCATCCAACCGCCGTCAGCCACCAACACCGCTCCTTCTACGTAGATAAACGGCTTATATTTATACGTACAAAATACACATATGCAAAACTTATGTATAAAACACCTAACTCTCTTTCTCTTTCCTTAGCCTTTTGTTTTTCTCTTCTTTACTCTTCATGCAGCCTACAAAATGGGAAACCTTTGCACCTGCTTTGCTCGTAAAACGGTAGCGAAACGGCCCGTCGCGAAACGGTTGCAGCACCAGCAAAACGGAGCCAATTCCAGCAACCGGTGGGCCAGGGTCCGATCGTCGAGGAAGGACAAGCTCGATGACGCTGTGGTTCAAGAGCAGGCTTTGGCAGCTGCGATCTTGTTCAGGCAGCAAAACGGCGGAGCTTCATTGCCGTTCGATAGGGCGGCTTCGTTAAGGTACCTGAATTCTGGTGCCGGGTCTAAGAAAGCGGGTCAGTTGCCTCGGAGCTCCAGTTCTAGAGCGAGGTCCCTTACTGACCCGCTTTTGCAACCTCATCAGCTTGTTAATCAGGTTAGTCATTAGTGTTAACTTTTTCAATTCTGCAATTTATTGGGTCGAGTGCTTTTTTGGTTGGCGCAGGTCATTATTGTTGGGCGTTGGGTTTTAATCATCTAACTTTATTTTGTGGGTTACTATATTAATTTTTGATGATTGTATGACTTTAAATTATTGGAATCACGAGAGAAATGAAGATAATGAATCAAAATTTTTATTGGTTACTTGTGGTTTTTTATTCTTTGCAATCTGGGTGTTAATTTTGACGCTAAATGTTGGATATTGGAGTTCTGGGAAACAGGGTTTTAAATAGCCTTCCCGACCTTGATAGCGCTGCAAAATAGCGGTAACGCTGCCTTCCGATATATCCGCAATCACGGTAAACGAGACATGATCAAAAATGCAACCGCGATTTGAATTCCTGCTGGGAAATGAATTTGCTATTTAAGAAGTTGATTTAATTATGGAATTTAGCTGGATAAGATAAAGATATGCTCATCAAATTTCTGGCCAAATTCTTTATGGCCTACTAGAAATTCTATCAATCTGTTAATGGTTTGTCTATAAGGCTGCATGTTTACAGGTCTTGTTTAATTTTCTGTTCTTTGTTACCATTTCATGTCAATTTGTAAATTCTATCATAAGTAACTTTGCTTGTTAGGTGTACTTTAATCCTTCCCAATGTCGATTATGATCTTTCTTTCTTTTCTTTTTCACAGGACAAGCTCGATAATTTGGAAACAAATCATTTTGTCCTTGTCCATGGGGGAGGCTTCGGTGCTTGGTGTTGGTATAAAACGATTGCACTCTTAGTGGAAGGTGGTTTCAAAGCTACTGCAGTTGATCTAACGGGTTCCGGCATTCATTCGTTCGACACTAATGGCATCACCAGTCTCTCACAATATGCGAAGCCACTAACTGATTTTCTTGAAAATCTTTGTGAAGGCGAGAAGGTTCTTCTCTTTTTATTTCTTTCCTTGTTTAGTTCCAGTACATATGCTCCCTTTTCAGCTTGCTTCTTCTTGGTTGGAAGAAACTTTTTCTAATGGAGATGGATGGACATTAGATTTCAATCTTGTTAATCAATTCAACGTATGTCCTGCTCGATACCCTGGAAGCATATAAAATAGTTAATATAACCCTTTATGGGGTATATTAAATTTTACTTTATAACGGCACTTGTATATCTCTGCTAATCAAGCTTTGCAAAACATTTTTTTACAATTTTTCATCCTCGCTGTTACTGGAAAGTTTGATATAGTTAAGAGTGTGGTAAAAAAGCCTCATTGTTGATAGCCTTGAAACTATGCAGGTGATCTTGGTCGGGCACGATTTTGGTGGTGCATGCATATCGCATGCAATGGAGCTGTTTCCTTTTAAAATTGCAAAGGCTGTTTTTGTGGCTGCTGCAATGCTGATAGATGGACAAAGTACTCTTGATATGTTTGCTTTACAGGTTTGCATTGGTTGAATCATTATTTTAGTTTCCGAAAATTGACGTGTGCTAATGATGTTGGACTTGAAATGTTCATTTCCATTGATCGTCTGTTTTAAGTTCTGTAGTTTCACTTTTGCCGGAAATTATTGATTTGCCCGAATCTTTGGCATCAACATCTTGTTTCCCAATACGCGTCTGCCCTGAGTCTTTAAACTGTAATCTTGTGAAGGAAGTGAAGCTAACCTTACCTCTCAAACAAGTGTGAGAACGGCAGGAACATTGAATATATTAAGACATCCATATTCCTATATAGTACTTGTTAACTATGTTGCTCTTAACTTTTCATTTTTCTTTAAATACCCGTATCTGACATCCATGTCTGATGCATTTTTATACATAAGCATGGGGATATGGCCCTTAAAATATAGTTAAAAAAAATTAAAAAACTGAACGTACCTGGGTTGAACATATATCTGTATAGCTTGTTAGTACTTTCCATGAACAATTAATCTAACAATCACAACTTTATGACTTTATGTAACTAGTGCTTAAACTGTTGCAGGCAGGTTCCAATGATCTAATGCGACAGGCTCAGATATTTGTGTATGCTAATGGAAATGACCATCCTCCAACTGCTATAGATCTAGACAAGTCTTTATTGCGGGATTTGTTATTCAACCAAAGTCCTTCCAAGGTACAGCTGAACTCGGGATTAACGATTTCATATGTAAATTGCAATGCGCACGCATTATGCAATTAGTAGCTTGACATCTCTTTCTAAGACTGTCAAAATCTTTTAATCGATTAATTTTGTCTTCTGACTCTTTATTGTTCAGATTAGACTTTCTCTTGTGTCTGTAATCGTGTGCCATCGCAATTGCTGATTTTATTCCACTTTTTTCTGGACCAGGATGTAGCATTAGCATCTGTGTCAATGAGGCCAATCCCTTTTGCACCAGTTGTGGAGAAGCTTTCACTTTCTGACATGAAATATGGATCCGTGAGGCGTTTTTACATAGAAACCACCGAAGATAATGCCATACCAACGGTGCTTCAAGAGAGCATGATTAACTCAAGCCCACCAGAAAAAGTATTCCGTCTAAAAGGGGCTGACCACTCGCCATTTTTCTCAAAGCCTCAAGCCTTGCAGAAACTATTTGTAGAGATCTCAAAACTCCCTCCACCTTGAGAGAATCTAATTTTTGAATATTCATGGGAGTCCCCCCCACTTGGGGCTTCATTTGATGAGGTACAGGGAAACCATTCTCTGAAATTTTAGTGAACATGCCATGCCCATGCCCATACCCATACCTTAAAAGACTGTCTTTAGTGCTCGAGCTCGAGCGCTAGATGGCCTAGAAATCTTGCATTAGAGCGCGAAATATGTTGATATCATTTTCGTCAATCCCTTTTTGTTTCCGGTTTTAGTTCATGAGATATTCATCTTTATGCTAGTGAAAGATAAACACTTCAGGATTGAACATTAGGCAGTATCAGCCTTTTTTTTATCACAAGGCTTGGTGCATACAAGGATGCTTGTTTTCTCCGTCTTAACAGATTTCTCATGTAAACATGATGCATCTAAGCTAAAGCTTTTGCTGAAATATAGTCACTGAAGGACGACAAATAATGCTACAAAGTTCAGTAGAACATGCTCGTTCTATTTTGAACATACATAACAACTCCTCGAGTACCATATCATTTGGTCAAGGATAAGCAAACAAGACATCATCTAAATATACACCATCTAAATTTCTGTTATGGTTTAAATACAATAACTTTTTGTTGACGGAAGTTGCATAAAATGTGAAAATATCATGATTGATTTAGTCGTTACGTTTTGGGTTGGGGACTTGTGTTACAATTAACTCATCATTAAAATGAACTCAACCTTAGTATTTCCGTATTGGGTTTCCAAAATGAACTCATCAATATAACATCTCTTGTATGATCTCTCAGAGAGGTGTTACAGAGGCAATACGACTTGAGAAAATCTACACGTAGAATTATGTGAGTGACAAGTCACAATGCAAAACTTAAACTAATTGTGAATAATTATTTAAATACCAACTAAATCTAGAATTTTATAAAAAGTATTAGGTATTGCATCATAGAAAAACCCAAAGAATGGCCCGGATTTCATATCAGATCAATCATTTTACAGATTTAGTCAGATGGATCTTTTTTACATTGAAACCAGAAGCCATTACAGTTCCAAGCTTTTTACCTCCACTATTTGCACCATTTACACATAAACAAAGTGGAACAGGGGATGCACATGACAATAATTACACCTATAAGGGAAGGATTTCTTTGTCGAATATCACTTACCAGTGTCGGTTCCGGCATACACATTTCACTGCCTCTTTGCTAATGTCTTCCTCATTCCCTTGTATATCTTTCCGAACCACATTAGGTTCATAACTGATAGGACCACCGGCACAATGATGATTAATACTCGTCCGTAGGTGTTCATCTGCTTAACCTGATCGTAGTGCAAGTAGATGTGGTAAAATAGATGCACAAACAGGATTATTCTTGCAACCTGCCAAAAACATCAAAGTTCAACAGCACTGTGAGGCATGGCATTAAAGCTCAGGTTCAAACCCTTGCAGCCAAACTCCGAAATGGTTTGGGTCAAAAAGCAGTAAACCAACTTCACTCACCAGCCAAGTTACAAATATTACGACTCCATTAATCAAGTAAGCTTTGGATCTCTTCATTCCAGCTGTGTCAAGATACCTATACGAACCCAGGTGTCCTCAACATATGAAACTAAATTGCATTTTATGAATGACAGGAGGAATCAACTAATATACAGTTAAGTCTTTACCATCTCAAGTTGATCCCAGGGGTTGTAGTCTCGGAGATGAGTACCATGAACGTATAAAGCTGACCCTCCCCTGTCAACATAGAGTATGCTACAGCTGCTACCGACAGAAGATGGTGAAGGACCTGAAATAAAAGATTTTAGGTTGATTTACATCACGATAAGATAGATCAACACTCACCAACTAGGCCTCTATAGAAAGAAGAGAGTAGGTAAAGATGATAATCAAACAATAAAAATGCTTACATACTCCACTCCACCCAGAAAAGGGTAAAACCAAATGATCATCCCAAGGTCAACCAGAAAGTAGCCAACAGATACCTGTCAGAAAAAGGAGAAGTTTCAGCAAAATGAACTTACTGCAATATCACTCCCTCTTGTAAGTATAATAGGCAACAATTAGCTTCAGGTGATGTCAAAAACTGACTTTGATTGACAGATTAAATAAATTTGTCTAACATTGGTATGCAATTTCATGGTTTTTTGCATGTTTATGTGTTCATTCATTTGATATTTAATCACTCTGCAATAAAAAGAGGGTAAAATACTAGAAAATATCAACTTCTTTCCAAGTTTCTTATGTAAGTCCCTATCCTTGTTTATTTCCCGGCTAAGAGCTCAATTGGGTGGAATATCTATAAAGGGTTAATGAGAGATTTGAGACATATTTTAACATTTTATGCCTATTGAAATGAAGTAAAGAAAATGCTTACTCCAACCAAGTCCTAAAAGAAGCACGTTCTAGATATTGCATCCTCTTCTAGATATATGGATAGAGAAAGAGCTATCACCCAAGTTTTTATGGGATTAGGTTATCCTAGTCCTGACAGAAAGTACTGGAAAACGTGAGTAAGAGCTATCACCCAAGTTTTCATGGGATTTAGTTATCCTAATAATGACAATCAAGATACTAGGCCAAAAGACTTAATTTGGTAGATATGCTCCTCAGGTTTGATTGTTTCAACTAGAAATGCTCCCCAGGTTTGATTGTTTCAACTAGAAATGCTCCAAGCATAATGACCTGGACTATTTGCTCCTTAACACTGACTGCAAGGCACTTTAAGACACATCATAGACAAACTACTGATCAGGCTTCTAGTGAGACAGTTCTTCATTGACCTAACCCTGCACCAGATATCAACTATCAGACAGATATAATGGATACATGGCCACGAGCATGTAATGGTGATACTCATTCTGATGATAAATCTTCACACTGAAGGTAAATTATCGTGAAGGCATGTTACTAAAGGTGAGGCTGAACGACTTCTTAGTAATATCAAATACACTAAACCAAGCATAAAAGAACATAGAAGATAAAAAATAATCTCAATCCAAAAGTTTTCGTCCAAGCGTAAAAACCAAAGGGTATCCTCACCCCCAATGTGAATGTAGACAGTGCAGAACTTTGGAAAGTAACCAGGTCAGCATATTGGTAGTCAGAATAGAGATCTGACCAAAACACAAAGTATAAGGACATACTTGCTATGAAAATGGCATGAAAGGTCGATATGGATCTGCATAAAGCATCTAGATATTAATTCTGTATCAATAAGAGTAAATGGTAAGAACACATCCATGTTAACTAGAGGATATAACTCACCGGTTGCTCCACTCAATCTGCTTGATTTTTGATAGACTGGGGTAGCTCTTAAAGTAAACATTGCAAAACAATTGTGTAAGATCATAGACCTGGAAAAGGGTAATGGTCAAAATTTCGGAGAAAGAAAAAGGGAATGATACTAAAAGAAATAAAAAATAATGGAAAGAAGAAATGAGAGAAATATCAATAAGAACTAAAAAGAAAGAAGAGCTAAATGAAAAATAACCACAAGTAAATGAAAAAGTATAAATAAAGCTTCATAGTCATATAGATGCAAATAATCATTCTAATTCAACTGAATTGTTTTCAAACTGATTAAATCAATCATAAGATCGATTAAGGAACATACCATCATGCAAGCACAAATCCCACAAATAACTGATGTATATGGGATGATGGAATCAGATAGTAAATATTCCTTTACGAACAGCTCAGCCTGATCCTGGTAAGATTTTATCTCCATAGATTCCTTTCAGAAGCAAATATAGAAGCAAATTCCTCAATCAATCACTCTAAAAAGATGAACTTTCTGTTATGTCTTCTATTCTGTATTCTTATCCTCCGTGATGATTAAGATCTAAAACAATATTAAGAAAAAATGAATATCATAAAAGAAATAAAAAAGGAAAAATATAATATATAATTTGCTTTAATTTGAACAATAATGCACTTGACATTTCAAATACAGTATGCACCACTTTGCATTCTCCTCTAAGATGTATTAAAGACAATCAAAGAAACATATTACTATCTCAAATGACTTTCTAACTTTTCTTTTTCCAATATCAATAAAAGACGATGAGAGATAAGTACAAGGGCATGATGGCTATGATGTGAAAATGTGGACACCGTGTACTCAGAAGAGAGTTAGCAGTTTGGAAACTAATTTACGATGGGCATATCTTCAAGTTCACCAATATAGCAACAGTAATCTAAGTTAAGGGCTGCATTGAAGTAAAAGCAATCTTGAGTGCACGCAAGAAAATTTTGCAACAAGGAATTACTTCAAAGCCCAGGGCATATTAAAGTATTAAGCACCAAGACATCAAATTCAAGTACCATATACAATTAATTCATATCAACAAAGAATGCATGTTTCATCCCCAGCAATGCTAGTTTATATATATGATTCAGAAGAGCGGAAAAAAACAGAGCCAAAGGACCAAACTTTCCCATTGATCTTTTTGCAGCCGTAAGATACGATTACTCCACTAAAGCATCAGCAAACTGAAGAATTTTTAATTTATTCTACAAGCTGATACGAGATTGAGGTGACGGAGGAAGATGGTGATTCGCACGGAGGTAATAAGAGCCGATTATGGATGACGGCCGGCTGTGCAAGCCAGCAGTCAAACTTAGTCAAGACACCTTCTCGATACTAAAACTCTGCGAGAAAAGGAAAAAAAAACACCTTTCAAACGCTTAAACCTCCACCATCGGCCTTTTTCCCCTCAGCACCTCCGTGCCAACCGTCATCCACCCCCATCAAATAATCTATTAAGCTACTTAAAAAGTAAACAAGCAAACAAAACATTACCACTGATCTAAGGCAGCTGATTCAATCATCCAGCAAGCCAGAAGAAAGAGAAAACAAGAGAAATGCATTCAACATGAACATCAAAGCAGAGATAGCAAATTATAACATCAAATGAACAACTAAAAACAAATTAAAAGCCAAAAAAAGAGTTTCCAAACCAAACAATTTAACAATCAAAACGAAGGAGAGGAGTACCGGAATCAAACACAACAAATCAGCGGGAATTGAGGGAAATATCGGGATTTAGTTACCCGAGAAAGAGTACGAAATAGAAGCTGCTAGATTCCTTGCTTGATTTTCCTTCCTCTATCATAATATTAAAATGATTTGTGGCTTGGTCTGTTCGTTTTTGTCATTTTGGGGCAATCACCTTTGGTTTCGTGAAGACAAACTTTTCCTTCGAAGATAAGGCCTGGGGTCTATTTCCCAATTATTTTTCATTTTTCTTATATTTTTAAGGATTTTATGAGGACTATAAATAAATTATTGGATGTTTATTCAATCTTTTATTTTAATGATTTTAGTCTTTTTATTTTTCAATTTAAGAAATTAAGTCTAATTATTGTTTTATATTATATTTAGGTCCCTTATAACATTATCTTTTTATGTTGCAGGATTCAAGAGTTATAATTTTTATTTACAATTAGTTCTAATATAAAAAAAAGATTGTTTTTATAAGTTAAAATATTTTTATGAGATAGAAGAAAAAATGTTCAACCAAAATTTGAAACTTTTATCGTTAAAAGATTTTTCAATAAATTATGACACTTTTCCATATTAAATATTTATTATATTAAATAAATTTACAGTTTGTGTCAAACTAGAATACAATTAAATTTTAATAATTTATTTATATACACGTGTAAAATTATACATTTTTTAACAAATAAAATTATAAAATTAATAATAAATAAATTTTAAAATATATTAAATTATAGCAGCATTTTCTTTTGTTAGCACGGTATTACCGTGATGTCATAATTACATCGGAGGTGGGATCGGACACCAAGCAGAAGCAATGAACTGCACCACACTGGAAACCAACTCCTCCACCCCAATATTCGGCGCCGTCGTGTCAACCACCATCCTTGGCACATTTCCGACGTCGTATTCCGAGCATCCGTCGTACGCTTTAATCAGCTCCTGAAGCTCCCCCCAAGAGGCAGGCTTGTGCCAGCTCTTTTCCCTCCCTTCAAGCCTCTCCCTCCACATGGCCTCGTCCGATGGCCGGCACTCCACGATCACGAGTCGAGCACCGACCGTCGCAGTCAAGTCAAGCAGACGGTCGAGATGGGCTCTGCGAGAGAGAGGAGAGTCGATGATGACGCTGAGGCCGAGGCGGAGCTGAGTCGTGGCGACTCGCCAGATAGCTTCGTAGGAGAGGTCGTTGAGTCCCGCCGCCGGTTGCTGGTGTTGGTGGAGAGGGAAAGTGGAGTCGCGGATGTCGTCTTTGTCGATGAGGGGGAATTTGAGGGCGGAGGCTAAGGCATGGGCTAAAGTGGATTTGCCGGTGCCTGGATGCCCTTTCATTGCTATTATCAATTGCTTATTCCTTATTTTCTCTTCTGCTTCCTTAGACATTTGTCTCGGCCACTGTTGGGATAAATTTCTGTTCTTTTCGTTATACGACAAATCCTCATAAACGACGCAAGGTTTCACTTTCATCATCCTCAGCCCAAACCTAGTCTAAGATTTCTTTTATCCGTTTGGTTGACTCATGGTTTTCAGAACCGGACCAGTTAGTGAATCGGTCATGCTATCGATTTATTGGTTTAACCGATTGAATTGGTCGGAATAACCAAAAGACATCATAATTATTTAAAAAATTAAATAAAAAATACCAAAAATATTTAATAAAAAATAATTTTGTATATCACATGTCAATATTCAAAACAAGTCATAACATATATAAGTTAAAAATCATAAAATCAAATGAAACAAAATGATTCAAATTAACTACAACATAATATTTAAGATAAAACATATTAAATAATAAATATAATTATATAACTATAATTAAACAATAAATTTGGGGCTAAAAAATCATAACAAAATAATATTGTTTAATTTAATTTAAAAAAAACAATCTCACATGGCTAAGAAACATAGAAGAAAATCCCAAAAGTCTAAAGAGTAAAAATATGAGAACAAAACAATCTCACATGGCTAAGAAACATAGAAGAACATCCCAACTAACTTCTATAAATAATAGAGGTAATTTGACATTCAAAATCATGGAGCCTTTTGGTGAGCATAGAGTGAACTATTCTTTCACTTCAATCAAGCTCGAATTTTAGGCTTCAATCGAGCTTCTAATTTTTTTTTGAGTTCAAGCCTTTTCGAGTACAAGTTTCAATATTATATTTCGAGTTCGAGTTGAACTTGATAATTTTTAATTCGTGAGTTTGAGTCGAGTTGAGCTTACTTTTAAAGTTTGAGTCGAGCTCAGCAATACTCGAATTCGACTTGGCTCGTTTAACAAACGACGTCGTTTGGTTTAATTTTTTAAAAAAAAAACAAAATTGGCGGTTTTTCCCGGTTTTCAGCCGGTTCGAACGGTTCAACGGTTCCGGCCGGTTCACTAATAGCGGTTCAACCGGTTTAGTTTGAACCGAACTAGACAACGATTCCCGGTTGAACCTGCCGGTCCGATCCGATTTTCAAAACAATGGTTGACTTTTAACTAATATAGAAATTATCGATATTGTTTTATTAAGTATTTTAATTATTAAAAAAGTTATAAAATGATATTTTAAATATAAAATGTTATTTTATTAAGTATTCGACTATTAAAAGTTATAAAATGATTACTCGATTGTTCATTATGTTCTAAAGTCGTCATTTTTCATTAAAAATTGACGGTTGTTTATACCGGACGTTACATGATGACTGAGATATAATAGTCGTTTAAGATTTCAATATTAGATTTTATCATATCACAATCAACATATTATCATTCAGCTCAGAATATCGTCAATTTTTTAACGAAAAAAAGAATTTAGAATATAATTAATGGTCATGTAACTATTTTATAGCTTTTAATAGTCAAAGACTCAACAAAATAACACTCTATAGTTACAAAATCATTATGTAACTTTTAATAGTCGAGAGACTTAATAAAATAGTATCTCATAATCGATGAACCATTTGTGTACTTTACCCTTAACTAATTAGGTGAGTTAAAAATTGTTAAATTTGTGGAATAAATATGTGATGAATTTATTATAGATGTGTGCTATGAATTTATAAGTATAGAATTAAGAAAAACAAAATTAATGAAGAGAATATCACACATAAGCAACCAATTTTAATATGATTTAATTTTATCTGTCGTTACGAATAAGAAAATTAATAATTTATTATAAAATAAAAATATTGAAAAGTATAAATATATAATATTTCTTTTATCTTAAATTTTTTATATCTATATTAGCTCACATCACTCCCTTAATAGGAGATGGTAATGGAATGGTTTGGGTTGGATTTTTGATCAATCAACTTAATTCGAAAAATATGTATCCTTCCTTTGAACTTAACCCAACTCGAAAATATATATTTTCTACACAACTCTGATCAGCTCGAATTTTTAAAGTATTTTTGAAGTATAAATCCAATCTGACCCGATCCTAACCAATCCGATATAAAAAAGTACTTAATTAAAGAAAATAATTTTTTAAGTAAATTATATTATTATCCCTGAGTCAGGTCCATTCGGAGTTTTTTGCCCTCCACCCATACCCAACCCAACCCGACCTCACCTCACTCTCTTAAAAAATCCGATCCAATAATACTTGAACTCCATTTTTTTTAAAAATTCGACCCTATTGAATCGAGTTAGATCAAAATCAATCGATTTCGAGTTAAATTGCCATCCCTACTCCTAACCTACAAGACTCATATTTATAACTCTTCCTTTCTTTCATGTAATTAGGCCCAAAAAAATACTCTTAGGGGTGTTTGGATCAAGGAATGTGGGATTCCCATGAGAATGGAATTCACGTTCCCATGTTTGATTGGCCGGGAATCTCATTCCCGGTAATGTTTTATTACCAATAGTATATTTTTTTGGGTATATTATCGGGAATGTCATTACCTCCCTTTACTTAGGTATTGTTGGATTACCGGTGTTTTGGACTAAAATGCCCTTAATTTTTTTTTCTCTTTAAAAAATATCCTTCTTTTGTCATTGAATAATAAAAAGTCTATGAAGGTTAAATTACAAATTTATCCTTAAACTATTTTAGATTTACAAAAAAAAATATAATTAAAATTTTATATGAAGTTCAAGGGTTAAAATAAAATTTTACTCTTTCATTAAATCTTTTTATATTTTTAATTTTGTAAAAAAAATATATAAATATTTTATGAATTTAAATTTTTTAAAGAAAATATATAAATATTTTCCAACTTGTTAAAAAAATAAATATATAATAAAGATAATTTGGTCAAATATACATTCCAATAATTTTTTATTCTTTTAACCAAATACAGTAATCTTACATTTATGTTAAACCAACTAAACACAAAATACAACATTCTCAGTAATCCTATTCCCTCGTAATCTTACATTCCCACTGATAATCTTACATTCCCACTGATAATCTTACATTCCGTGAATCAAACGTACCATGGTAGTGAAGGACCTGAGTTTTGAAAGAGCTGGGTTTATAACTCGATCTGCATTAGCAATGCTCATAACTATGGCAGAACACAAGTCACCAATAATCCGCACAAGAATAAGTTCCATTCACAAAATGATGGAATCTCTCACCACAATTTCCCTTCCTGTAACCTTGGAAATGAACTTTGTAGCAGTGTGACAATCCCCACACTCTCAAGTTCTTTGTTATTCGAATTGAGCTCTCGTGCCCCGACTTTATCAACCCGAAAACGATGGCCAGCTTCTCACTGTGTGCATACAACATCATCTCCCTTGTCTCCTTCACATCATGCAATGCAAAGTTTAAATCCGGTACATACCCTTGTCTAATCCTCTCCATAAGTTTGCCCAACTCCAAATATATTAGTTCCGTTTCGGGGTTCAATCGATCCTCAGACACGAACGTATAGATATAGCCCTTAATCTCTATACTAGTCCGACCAACTATTTTCTTCACACCTCTGCTTTTCATTAAGTTTCTAATCTTATAAGCTTCTTTTCTTTTTCCCAATGATGCATATATGTTGGACAAGAGAACATATCTTCCTGGATTTTTCAGCATCCAAATCGAGTAATTATCCGGCTGCGACTTCCGCCAGTTCTACATTTGAATGAATTCTACAAGCTCCAAGCAGTGCACCCCAGACACCGGCATCTGGTTTCACAGGCATCCTTTCGATGAACTCCAAGGCTTGGTTCAACTGCCCAGCTCTGCCCAAAAGATCAATCATACATGCATAGTGTTCGGATTTTGGTTTTACCCCAAAATCTCTTTCCATTGAATTAAAGCACTCCCATCTTTCTGTGATTAAACCGGCATGGCTACACGCCAACAATATCGATACGAATGCAATATGGTCTGGTTCACTAAGGCCTTCATCTGATCAAAGAGACGAAGACCTTCCCTACCGTAGACGTGCACACCATACCCTGATATCATAGTGCTCCAAGAGATGATATTTCTTTCTTTCATCTTATCAAAAGCTTTTCTAGCATACGCTAAGCTCCCACATTTCATGTAAAGGTCAAGGACCGTAGTATCTAGCGCTAACCGACTTTCCGGGAGACAACAAATAATAACAACACGAAGGGCTCGTGCACGTTGCGAAGAAGCTAGTATCAAACAAGATTGAATCACTGCAAGAACGACGACAGAATTGGGAAACATACACTGCAATCTCATTTCATTGAAGAGATGCAAAGCATCAAGAGGCAAGTCAGCCCGAGCGTATGCATCGATCATCAATGCCCAGCAAACCAAATCCTTGTATGCAAACCCATCAAACAAGGTTCTAGCAAGGTCAATTCTTACACATCTACCAAACATGAGCATGGAGGCATTTCGCACGGAGTGATCGTTATCAAGTTCATTATCCACAATGACTCAATCATACGACGAGCCACTTCCTCGCTCCGAAAACATGCCGTAGCATTTAAAACGGAAGCTCTGTTGAGTTTGATTCCCAAATCCAGCATCCTGGTAAACAGCAACAACCCTTGGTCATGAAATCCGCATTGCGAGCACGCACCAATCATCGCGCTCCACGACACCATACTTCTCTGAGGCATTTTATCTAACACACTTTTGGAAAAACCAAAAAGGCAGCATTTAGCATAAAGGAAAAAAGAGAATTAGCAACGAAGACCTCAGAGGAATAGCCGTAAACAAACGCATGCGCGTGAAGCTGAGAACCCGAATCGAGATTGCGGAGGGAAGTGCAGGCTTTGAGAAGAAAAGGGAAGGTGAAGTTATCAGGCGCGATGGGAAGATATTGCATACGGGTATAAAGAAGTAACGAGCGATGGTTGTAGGCATTGTCGACGAGGCCGCGCAGCATGATATTCCAAAGGAAGGCGTCGCTAAAGAAGGCGGCATCGCGGTGGGAAAAGAACATGTAGGCGAAGGAGATTGAGCCGAGTGAAGCGGTGGAGATCGAGGTGGATGACAGTTCTGAGGACGGAGGCATGAAGGGTTTTCAGAGACTTCAGGGTGCTGCATTTCTTGATCAAGGAGACGAATGTGTGTTCCAATTTGCTTGAAGTCTTCAGCTTGAACTACTGCATGCTGCTTTGGATGAAGGCTGTTTGCTTGTTACCGTCTTTAGCCCCTTCAAACTTCTGTTCTCTGTTGTTTATCTCACAAATTTATTTTCCAACAAGGTCCGTCCTAGAATTAAGCCGAATTCCATCCTACAAGAACTCGAAATGATAACAAATTGTCGACACCGTTTTCCGCCCGGGCGGGGGAAAACTTAGTACGACTTGGGGTTTTCTTTGAAAAGGTTTTGAAATGTTTTAGAGTCGCCATCGACCTTTTGGGTTAGGTAGGTCGAATACCTAGAAATTTTCTTTTAAAAGTAGTTTTTAAGAAAAACATCATTTTAAAAGATTCACCAATCTACGTGTAACCAGAGATTCATTATTTTTTGAAATAAAAAAAATTCGGGGATCGATTACGTGTGGGGAAGGATAAGCACCCCCACAACGCCCAAAATTGGTACCCTATCAATTATAAATTATCTCTACTAGTGGAAATCTAAGAATTCGAATACAAATTTAAGTTACGATCCTATTATTCCAGATTCAACCATATAATTTTTATTTAATGAAAAATTCTAAGGAGAAATATAAAATATTCTAATATTTCCAATTGAAGAGAAAATAATCCCTAAAATACTTTAAGACGAATATTTCTCTTTCCAACTGAAATAAAAAGTATATAATAATTTCTCCCCAGAATTCAAGATTAAAATAATTTTTATTCTATCAAAGAAAGAAAATAAGCCAATTTATCCTAATTATATCATTATAAAAGATAAGAGATGTTCAATTATTTAAAATATCGAAACTTAATTTCTAATAAAATTAGACGAATTGTTTCGATAAGTTTAAATAAGTGAATATTTCCTTTTTCCTTCAAACTTAATTAATTTTTACGCAATCAATTTTTTAGGTCTTTCTAGTGGGATATTTATTTATTTTACAATATCGGAAAAGGACATCTAGTTATTTTAAGACTGTCCCTCCTTCATATTTTAAAATAAATAAATATTACCCTTAAACCAATTATGTAATCGGTTGAGTTATGCTAACGAGGCTTTTAGACGAAATAAAAATGGTACATTGAAGCATTTAAAGAAGAAAAAAAAATATAAATACACATATGGACTAAAAACAATTTTAAGGTTATTTTTAACTTTATTTTACTTAATAAAATCTATACACATATTTTCAAACATGATATTTAACATAGAACATAATATTTATTATAAATGTACTAAGATGTAAAATATAACATTCATATACACAATACAATACATGTAGTATTATATAAATATATAATAAAGTAATATATATAATAATATACGTAAAATAATACATAATAATATACATAAAATAAATGTGTAATACATAAACATACTTAATGGTACAACATAAAACAATATACATACGCATTCATTCGTAACATAGTGACAAAAATAAGTGTAAAGTAAATTTGAGACCATAAATATAAATAAACAAACATCTAGGCATGAAACAAAAAAATCATGTAACAAGAGCACCAGAATTGTAATAAAACCATAAATATACATGGCTAAAATGAAATAATAAAAACAATAGCCAAGTTAAGGAAATAACCAAGCAATTAATGACTAAACTATAATAAAAATGAACCATAATGTCAAATTCATAAAAAATAGCAAAATGAGGTACTGGGTGACCAAAACGCTAAAACAAAGGAAAGATGCAGGGAGCTAAAGGTGATTTTACCCTGATGGTGACCAAAACGTAAACACGCTGAAATTGGAGGATCTGGACTGCGGTTTGACCCTGAAACACAAAACAAAAAGAAGATAGAATCTGGGGACATGGTGAGTGATTTACCCATTTTCCATACAAACATAATATTTTCCTCCATTTACGTGAACCAGGCAGAAGCTTTCCAAAGCTTCAACGCTTCCCTTCGGCCACCGCACGTCGGCCCCCAACACGCCGGAAACCTGACCGGTGACCAACTTACAACCACCGGAGACCTCGCCCAACGACGGAAAAGGACTGGCCGACCCTTTGAACGGCCGAAAATCTCCCCGTTCTTCCTATCGCACTCTCTCGCTCTTTATCTCCCCATGCCGAAGAGGTTTAAAATCAACCCTCAACGACAGCCACAACACCTTGGTGACCACCCCATACTCCGACCAGCGACTGAGCCAGCCGAGGGATGTCAAAACGAAGGTCGAAGTGACCTCGTATCTCTCTCTCTTTGCTTTCAACCAAGGCCCTAACAAAGACCCCCACGCTCCCCTCCGGCCACCCACAGACGACGCTAGTAGGCCACGAACCGGTCTCTCTCGTACGTCGGCCACGCTCAACGGTGGCCAACCCTTATGCAACCCGTGAACCCCAAAACAACCAAGGAAAAAAGAAAATAAAGAAAGCAAAAGTAGAGAGAAAAACGTCCCAGCCACTTTCTTTTTCATTCCTCCCTTTTAGGGGACAAAGGTTGAGTGATTTTACAAGGGGTGGTTGGGGTATTAATAACCTCAACCACTATAATATAATATTGTTTTTTTACAAATAAAATAATGATAAAAATGGTGTTTACAGCTGCCCCTCTTTGCTCATTGTTGTGGAACAGGAATAGAGCAAAGATAATAAGCACCAATTTTATCTGGCCTAAACTGCTAAAATCTTGAACTTCAATTTCTTCTGATCGGACGAATTCTTCTCATTATGAACTCTTCGTTGATGATGTCACTCCACTTTCTTCTGTGATGGAATCACCAAGGTTGAACAAGTTCTTCTCATTATGAACTTCTTCTCCCTCGCCGGATGAGTTCTTCTCATTATGAACTCTCAACTGGAAATGTTGATCCACCTCCTTCTGTGATGATTGAGCCAAGGTGATGCTGATACAACTCCTTATGTGAGGGACTGGCGAAATGATTATGTTGATCCAACTCCTTATGTGATGGACGAGCAAAAGTCGGTGATGTTCCAATTCCTTATGCGATGGAAACAAGCTAAGGTTGAACAAGTTCTTCTCATTATGAACTTCTTCTCCTTCCTCGGATGAGTTCTTCTCATTATGAACTCTCCACTGGAAATGTTGATCCACCTCCTGTGAGGTGTTGCTGATTCAACTCCATATGTGACGAATCGAGCTAAGGTTGAACAAGTTCTTCTCATTATGAACTTCTTCTCTCTCATCGGATGAGTTCTTCTCCTTATGAACTCTCCACTGGAAATGTTGATCCCTCGAGTGAGGTGTTGCTGATTCAACTCCATATGTGATGAATCGAGCTAAGGTTGAACAAGTTCTTCTCATTATGAACTTCTTCTTCTTTTGGCGGATGAGTTCCTCTCATTATGAACTCTTCTGGAAATGTCGATTCACCTCCTTCTGGGGTGAATTTGAAAGGAACAGGCTCTTCTCATTACGAACCTTCTCCTTTAGGACGAGTTCTTCTCATTATGAACTCTTCATTTGAAATATTGATTGGTTCATCTTCTCTTTGAAAAGTTTCAAACCTGCAAAAGATTATCATATGTCAGTAATAATGGCGTTTGAAGTACCCGAAGGTATTGATCCAAAGGTCCTAGGATTTTGCTGAGATCCATTTCTTTTAATGGTGAAAACTATGGATTGATTCTTTGCGGAAGTCGTGAAATGAAATCTTTGTTGGCTCTTTGAAATCCTTAATGTTGCAAATTGCTGTGTTTTTGTCTTTGTTGGGTCCATCCTGGAAACGAAACTGCTCATTCTCATTGAAGTGTCCTA